GTCTTTTGTTAAATCTGTTTTGAGGCATTTTATTCTTTTGATGCTATTATGAATGAAATTGTTTTCTTAAGTTCATTTTCAGATTGTTCATTGCTAGTTTATAGAAATATAACTGATTTTTGTATATTAATCTTATATCCTGTAACCTTGATGAATTCACTTATTAGTTATAGCAGTGTGTGTGTGCACACACATTCACACATTTCTTAGAATTTTCTACACTCAAGATCATGTCTGTGAGTAAAGACAGTCTTATTCCTTCAAGCGCCGATCTCCTCGGTCCAATCTGGATGCTTTTTACTTCTTTTCCTTTCCTCATTGGACTGCATAGAACTCAAGCACAGCGTTGAACAGAAGTAGCAAGAGCTGGAATTCTGTGTCATTCCTGATCTTAGGGAAAAGGCATTCAGTCTTTTACCATTAACTATGCTGTTGGCTATGTATTTATCATAAATGTCCTTGATGAGGTTAAGGCATTTCCCTTCTATTCCTAGTTTGTTGAAAGTTCTTATCATGACAGATGTTAGATTTTTCAAATACCTTTTTTTGCATCTATTGAGATAATCATGCAGTTCTGTCTTTAATTCTATTAATATTGTATATTACATTAACTGGTTTTTTTGAAGTTAAACCAACTTTGCAATCCTGGGATAAATCTCATATGGTCATAGCATTGTATCCTTGCTGTATATTGCTGGAGTTGGCTCATTAATATTTTATTGAGAATTTTTGTAACTATAGTCACAAAGGATATTGGGCTGCAGTTTTCTTTCCTTGTGATCCCTTTGCCTGGCTTTGGTATCACGGTAATATTGGCCTCAGAGATTGAGTTAGTGTTCCTTCCTCTTATACTTTCTGAAAGTTTGTAAAGAATTGATAATATTTTTGTGAATAATCTTTGTAGTCTTCAATAAAGAGAATTTGCACATTTTTGTTAATATTTTCCTAGGTATTTGATTTTTTTAAATGTTATTAAAAATGACATTTTTAAAATTCTTCTCTAATTGTTTATTGAACTATTAGAAATATTACTGGTCTTTGGATGATGACCTTGTATCCAATGACCTTCTAAATTCTATTAGTTCTAATGTTTTATGAGAAGAGTCTTTTGGAGTTTCTAGTAACAAAATCACATCAGCTGCAAATAATAACACCAAGAATAAGAGTAAGTAGGCCACGCCTGTAATCCTAGCACTCTGGGAGGCCAAGGCGGGCAGATCGTTCTGAGCTCAGGAGTTCGAGACCAGCCTGAGCAAGAGCGAGACCCCGTCTCTACCAAAAAATGGAAAGAAATTAATTAGACAGCTAAAAATATATGTAGAAAAAATTAGCCGGGCATGGTGGCGCGTGCCTGTGGTCCCAGCTACCCAGGAGGCTGAGACAGTAGGATTGCTTGAGCCCAGGAGTTTGAGGTTGCTGTGAGCTAGGCTGACGCCACGGCACTCGCCCCAGGCAAGAGAGTGAGACTCTGTCTCAAAAAAAAAAAAAAAAAAAGAGTAAGTAAAAAGGCAGTGTGCAAATTGTTTCTGGGGGATAGGAAGTGAGCCACCTGATTTAAATGAAAGTGATCACAACAGCTGGGTCCACTGGCAGAACCGGTGGCAGCATCTGGAGGCAGCACATACAGCAAATGGATGCATGACTTGGAGCAGATCTAAGGCAGCCTGTCTTCTAAACATTCCACATCCCCCTCTGCAGCAGGAGAGAGACCTGTTTCCCATGGCCGCCCTACGCAGCAGGCAAAACACCCAGCCCTGCCTGTTCCTGGCTCCCTCCCCTGCTCTCCTTACCTAGTCCCTTCCATGGCAAGGCACATGGTGATGGCGGTGGGCGGGGATGGGAGGTCCCACTCTGAAACCGTGCACTACACATCTCTAAGGCATTTGGTGGTCACTGCCGTTATGTGATGTGCATTTGATGGTCACTGCCATTATGTGGTGCTCGAAAGTGCGAGCTCAGCAGCAGCAGGGCTTTGTGTTACTCCTCTGTGTGTTTAGCCCAAGTGCCCAACGCAGGGCCCAGCGCAGCCTAGGTACTCAATTTTTAACCTACGCTATCTGCACATTGATCTTAAGTTGGACAGTACAGCATTGACTTTTAAATAGTCTAATATTCAGAGTGGTTAGCATTATTACAGTCCTCCATTAAAGGAAACAAAGATTTCACTATTTTTAATTAAATTACTTCTTCAATGTACTAATAGAACCTGACGTGGGTAAGCACACAAAAGCCTTCATTTATCTTTCCCTGGGTGGTTCTGTGCGCGCTCCCCGGCAGCCCCCGCCGTGCTGGAGTGTGCCTGCTGTGGACCAGGCGCTCCACCACCTCTAGCTGGGGAGGCTCAGCTCGTTATTGGCCCTGAGGTTCCCTTTCCACAACTGTCAAATGGAGATTAACAGTAATGTCTGCCTCACAGAGGTGTTGAGAGGATTCAGTGTGTGTATATAAGTGAATTGCTAAGATCGTGCCTGGCACATAGTAAGCATTAGGTATTATGGTTCATTCAGAGAGATCAAGTCATACAGGCCTAAATATTCATTAAAATAGGTATATCTCCCCAGGAACACAGAACCCCACATTTCTGAGTCCACCCTGTGCTTGGAAACCCCAAGCGATGGCGTTCTAGGCTGACAGAGGTGGGAGCTGGGGCCTCCAGCACAGACAGCAAACCCCAAACCTGGAGGCCACCTCCAGGCAAAGTGGGCTTCTCCCCAGAGTGCTGCCCTCGTGCTCGCACACGTCTGTCCCCTCGTCGGCTCTCTGTGGGAGGCTGATGCTGAGGCTAAGGAACTCCTCTGGTATACGAAGTCATTTGTACACAATCCTATTTGAGTCTAAGGAAAAGTAATTCACCCTGCTCCTTATTATTTACTAGAGATTCAATTACTGAATGTGCTTAGTAAATAACAAACTTGGAAAATGTTGCTATGTATCAAAGTATCCAAATGCTGCTTTCTAAAATAAACATCAAAGTGAGACAGGAGCTAATGTTTAAAGCAAGAAAAAGCAAGTTGCAAAGTCATGAATTAGCCTCTGTAGTACAATTAAAAAATTAAATAGGCTATTTTGGAACTAAGAAAATGCTTCTGTTATGAGCGACAAGTTGCTTATGAACTGATAAACTCTGGGTTAGGGTGGGGAAAGTTGAACAGGCCTGGACCACTTGTTAATTACACCGTTGACAATGACTAGTCGCTCCATTCCTGACAATCTCGCCACACGTTGCTATCGGCATTTATCTTCCTATATTGCAATTAATTTTACATCATCCGTTCCTCCCAACTAGACTCAACTCTTCAGGTCAGGGTTCATACCCCTGAGCACACAGAACAATATAACAGGACCTCAAAAAATGTTTGTTGGATGGATAAATGAATGAATATGGAGTTTCTATTGGTCTTGTTCTGAGTGTTAGCATTCTTAGAAACAATGAGTGTTTCCCCCAGAGAAGGGTTTCAAAATCTTACAGTATTGATCATCAGTAATGCTTTCTTCAATGATGTAAAGCAGTCTTCAGAATGTCTAAATAACTTTGTGATGATATCTTCCTTGCGCGATTGATTTCTACAGCTGAAGCTACAAGAGGATTAGGAGAGAAACAGAAATAAGATTATGTCCTTGAACTTTGCCCGTTCTTAATGTAAAAAACAAGCACCCTCACAACAACTATAATAACACTTTCTTTGTGGATGGCTCTTGTTCCTGGAAGTATTAATGCGCTTGTGTGGGCTTATCCATCACTCTGCTAGCATGAGATCTAATAAGGGAGACGCCAGGGGTGCACCTGCCACAGGCATCAGGTAGCTCTGCTGTACCCCACCCCCTTCCCTTAAACCAACTCTGGTCAGCCATCATGCAAATCAGTGATTTTAGTCTCAAAAAAGATCAGTAAAGAGACCATGGATTACTGCTGAGACCTCAGCCACAGTGGAAGCTGGGAACCATCTATCTCCTCCTTTATGGGCAGCAGACTGTAGCACACTTATCCAGTGATGACCAAAGGCACAAATTCCAGTCTCAGAGCTGTGAGGACAGCAGTCTTCACGAGCTCTCCCTTTCCATTGCCAATGGAAGGGCCATGACCACCTATGTTGCCAGGCCCTCTCCCTCTGTTGCCTCTTTCTTTCATCCCCATCAGTCTACACGTGTGCTCTTGAAGGCCATGGTTGTTCCCTCTGCAAATCAAAATCAGCTTCAGTGTAGACTCTGCTCAGAAAGGGAGACTGCCAGAATCTCATAACAAAATACTGTTTGCTGCTTCCCTTTCACAATGTCCAATTACACAGTCAAACATTTCCTACTAAATAATGACAGTGAATCAGTTTACCTGTGGAACCATTCTCACATTTGGGGATTTTTGTTGCTGCATCTATATGGCCATCTTAGCTTTTTCCAGTTGTGTAAAAACATAAACATACACCCCACTACTTTTCAGAAACATACTCTGGTTTACTGAGTCTGAGTTCCTCCTGTGACTCATTGGAACCTAGTTTTTCTAAAGACTGCTAGCACTGGCATGAACGGATACTTTTTACGGCAGTTTTTATCTACCGAGTACTACTGAAATTGGGGCCAGACAGCTCTCTGTTATGGGGTACTCACTATAGGATGCTGAGCAGTGTCCCTGGCCTCTATCCCTAGATAACAGTAGCAGGTTTGGATCATAATCCCCAAAGACACAATCTCAAATGCCATAATCCCAAATGTTGAAATCCCAAAAGATCAATATCCCTAAAGTCCAAAATCCCTAACATCTAAAACCCTAATGTATAAAATTTCAAAAATCACAATCCTGAAAGATTACAATCCTGAATGTTGAAATCCTAAAAGCTGAATTCTGGGGAAGGGCTCAGTGTCTTTTCACTTGTATGCATGATAGTTGTACCATATTAGGTGGAAGTATTACTTTGTCTTTATTTGGAAATTAACTATGGTTTAAGGAGATGCATATGGGCACCAAGTTGACAAGGAGTAGATTTATGGACTTAGTTTTAGGTGTCAATTTGACTGGCTTAAGGAATGCCTAGGAATCTGGTAGCGCATTATTTTGGGTGTGTCTATGAGGATGTTTTCTGAGCGGACTAGGTGGGGAAGATCTGCCCTCATTGCTGACAGGCACCATCCAGTCGGCTGGGGCCCCAGAGAGAACACAGAAGGCAAACTGGTCTCTCTTTGAGAGCCGGGACAGACTTTTTCTTCTGCTGTCTTGGACATCGGAAATTTGACTCCACCAAAGTGCATTATCGCATCATTGACTTTGTAAGCATTGTACATGTAACATAAAAATGTTCAAACTTCCTTTTTATACATCTGCATTTGTGAAAGAGAAAATTTCTCAAGATCTCAGCTCTTTGGGCAATTGCAATATGTGGTGGTAACACACCTGAGGGAAAAATGCAAGTTTCCTACCACATAACAGAAACATTGTGCCAGCCCGGAGTGCTCAACAAAATTGTTACAAAATAGATTAAGTAGGTACCAAGATAACTACTGGGCCTGGGAAAAGTGCCCAGCATTTTCTTATCTTGAAATGGTGGGTTCTAACAGGGCCTGACTGCTTTAGAGCTGTTTGATTGTCCTATAGTACCCTTTAGCTAACTGTAGTGCTAAAATCCCCATTAGGGGAAAACTGTAATATCATTAACATAACATGGGTTGCACAACAGCATTATGATGATGGTGTAACTGAAGTAAGGGTCCAAAAAAGGGCAAAATGTTTTAAAAGTTGTCTCTTTAAAACCCTTCACCCTTTTTGAGGAATTAAAACTTACATTCCTGCTGGAGGCCAGTAATCAGAGGGGCAGAGGACTGTACTTTGTTTCATAGTATCTTAAACCACAGGAGATAGTTCAACAGAATTATCCAGGCAGATGTCACAAGATCATCTTCATTGGAGATGCTATGGTTAAACAGCAATAACCCGAAGCTGAAAATCCCCTTTAAAAACCCTGTTTTTCTGCTCAAAGAGGGGATGGTGGTTCTTTAAGATGAGAGTCTGCCATCCTCCTCATTTGCCAGCAAATTAATAAACTTCTCTTTCCTTTTCCTCAAACCACTTGGCCTCATTTGTTCGGCCTTGGGGACAAGCACTGAACTTTCAGTAAGAATGGTACTGCACTGGTGTGATGTTTCACTGTCACCAAGCAAAGGCACAATGTAAAAACTTTGCATTACTCATTGGGAAGAGATTTAAGGCAACACCACAGGGTGGGCAGATGTGGATTTTGCATGTAAGAAAGTTCCTGTGGAAGAAATTCCTGTGTCACCCAGAAGCAAGCACCCTAATAAGTAACCTCTATCAAACTCATCTAACTCACCAATGACTTGTCGGAGTCACTCTTTGGTCTCTTGATTCCCTATCAGTTTGGGGGCAATTTTTCTATTCTGTCCTGGGATTTTCATAAAACACCATCTCATATTTTGATGGATCTTGTCAAAAAATGGAGGTTATCCATCACAGTGTTTCAGATGACCACAGTTACTAAACTGGATGCACACAATTAAAAACCATAGTAATATGCTTATACATTTCCATTTTGACCTATTTTTAATAAATGCAATTTGTCTGCTTATAACTATCACACTCATGCACCTGACATTAGTATACTTGAGTGTTTACGTCTGCAAAAATATGTAAGGTATTATTTCCTATTTTATTGTGTAAAGTTTCCTATGAAGTGTTCTGTTGTGTTTTTATATGTTTCTCAAATAAATCCACTTTTAAAAATGTAAATAAATATCTTCTGAAGAATTTTTAAATTAATTTTTCCAGAATTATATATTCAGGATTTTGATCTTTCACGATTGTGATTTTAGAGATTTTAGACTTTAGGGATTTTGATCTTTCAGGATTTCAACATTCAGGATTATGTCATTCAGGATTGTTGTCTTTGGGGATTATGATCAGCTCCCATCAGTAGCATCACCAACCCTAGTGTAGCAACCAAAAATGTCTTGTGACATTGCCAAATGTCTCCTGGGAGGCAAGATTGCCCCCCGTTGAGAACCATATTATATTTACTTTATTTAAAGTAAATAAAACTTTAAAATTCTGACAGCTCTAGATAAGATACTATCAGACAAGAAAATTATAAAGAAACAGAAGTAACTTCACTTAAGAGAGTAACTCGGCCGGGCGTGGTGGCTCACGCCTGTAATCCTAGCACTCTGGGAAGCTGGGAAGGGAGGATTGCTTGAGCTCAGGAGTGTGAGACCAGCCTGAGCAAGAGCAAGAACCTATTTCTACTAAAAACAGAAAAATTAGCTGGGCATGGTGGTGCGTACCTGTAGTCCCAGCCACAGGAGGCTGAGGCAGGAGGATCACCTGAGCCCAGGAGTTTGAGGTTACTGTGAGCTAGGCTGATGCCACTGCACTCTACCTGGGGTGACAGAGCAAGATTCTGTCTAAAAAAACAAAAAATGAATTCACAGAGTTGCATCCCAGGAGCTGAGAGCTCTGAAGGTTCTGAATACTTGGAAGGCTGGTAACGAGAGCAGTTCATTAAATATTCATAAATTCCTGAGACAGGGATGGGACCCATGAAATGTGGTATATTTTACTTTGCAATGGAGCATAATGCTTTCAATGAATGTGTCAAGATTATAAAGCCTGGTTTTTTCCTTAAGATTCATAGAGGGCAATCAATCCAGGATGCACCTCAACATAAACAAAATATTTCTTAGAGAAAAAGTCTAAATTCTAAATGTCTTATTATTAAGCACTTTTTTGCATTTTGGGGCCCCCATCACAATTTACATGATATTGTAAATATGAAGTTATAATAGATGTGAGAACAAGACAGAAATTATGATGTCCAAAGCAAAGAATCCCCATGACCCATGATATGTACACCACGCAGAGTGGCTGCAAATGAATGAACACTATTGTTCCTTTCCATACGACACTTAACAAGCACATGTTCATACACAATTTTGCAAGAATGTGGCAGCAGCTGTGTGTGTACCCAGAGCATTGGGCTCCACTGCACACTGAGCAGGTGACTGAGTTAAGATCTTGTAGTCTTATTTTTCTCATCTAGAAATTGAAATAGTAATTATACCAACCTCATAGTTTAAGGCAATCTTAAATAAGAAAAATGTATGAAAAATAATTTATAAACTGTAAAATCACTATGTAAAAGTTGGCAATTATTCAGTGGAGACTAATTGGTCATTTAATAAATGATGAAAAAGTAACTTGGATATTCTCTAACCTTTTACGTATTACGATATTTGTAATTAAAATGTTTTTTGTTTTTGTCTGTTTTTTTTACATACCTATTTCTTTTTCTCGGGGGAACTATATTGCTAATATCCAACCCCTGAGGCTCATAAAATGATGTTAGAAATTGCTTCCAATTGATTTTTGTGGTGGTTTTAAGTCCAAATCTGGATTTTAAAAAACAAAAATATTATTTTAAACATTTTTCTACAACATTGCATGGATTAGATGCTTAATACTGAATTGAAAATGACAGCAATGAATTTATATGAAGTTTCAAATCTAAGGTAAACAAAATCATTTAGTAAAATAGTGCTATAAATTGATTTTTAAAAAGCAAGGAAAAATCAAACTGATTACACATCTCCATGTCTCTCTATTCTGTTAGTGGCAGCATACGTTGAATGAAGAAACAAATGAATTTGATTAACGTTCTAATGTCCACATAACAATTTTTTCAAATTAATTCTTTGAAGAGCACGATTATTGTGGGAGGCAGGACAAAGGCCCTCACAGTGTCCACAACCTCACCCTGGGAATCTGAGCATACATTCCCTGTACTAAGGGACTTAGTAGATGTCATTAAGGGTGGACCTTGAGATGGAGTCGCCTGGGTTATCCAGCTGGGCCCAATTTAATCACATAAGTTCTTAAAATGGAAGAACTTTTCCCAGCTGCAGCCATAAAAAGGGGTGATGACAGAAGGGCCAGAGATGTGACATGGCTGGCTCTGAAGATGGAGAAAGGGGCTGCAAATAAATGAATGAACGCAGGCGGCCTCTAGAAACTGCAAAAAGCAGGAAATGTAATTGCCCCCAGACCCCTCATAAGGAACAAAGCCCTGCTGAAACCTGGATTTCAGCCCAGTGAGACCCATGTTGGGCTTCTAACATACCAAATATTAAGATAATAAATTTGTATTGTTTTAAGTCACTAGGCTTGTGTACTTTGTTATGGCAGCAAAAGAAAACTAGTATAGATTTAAAGTCTTAGCAAGAATAAGTAATTGGAAAATTGTTCAAAAACAAACTTCCAAAGTTAATATGGTCCCATGCCTCAGAGTCCAATAATTTCTGAGCTACAAGGTGCCAGCAGGAGCAACCTGATGTGAGCATAGGTGCTACTCGGAAAGACCAGAGTGCAAATCCCTGCTCCTGCACTGCTGATGTGACCTCAGAGAAGCTGCTTGCTATTCTGATTCTCCATCTTTCTCATCATGAGAACAATAATCTCTTCTGGGGATGTTATTATAGGGATTAGGGTTAATAGATCGAAAAGCCTCTACTGCAGGCGGGACACCCTGACCTACTGTGTATGTTACTTACATGTTAAGCAGCATCCATCCTTCCGTAACAGGATGGCAAAACGTAGTTTTGGCTGAGGTCCTTGGAAAATAGGAGACACCGAAGAGGGCATCAGACAAACTGCCCTGTTTTGATTGTAGCTGAGAGAGAACTAGTTAGACAAACTAAATTCTTTACCTACATCTAGGGTACTAAAAAGTCCAGAAAATAGAGGATCAGAGAGAGGATTTTTGGAGAAAATCTTTTGGTATGCTTGAGTCTCAACCCCAGCACAAAGGATAGGGAGAAGGATATCTATTCATCTCCTGAAGCTTTGTGACAAGAACTGGCTCCACTCAGGGAGCTTGACACCTGTCCCCTGCAATGGGGGGTAAGATGTGTTGGCGCCTGACTCCCGCACAGGAATCTTGCGGGTGAGAGATGAGCTGGCTAGCACTGGGGGAGGGGTTGGTTGACTGGGGGGACCATCGAGGGGGCTGTTGGTTGGTTTGCCCTATCAGAGTCATCAGGAAAATAATTTCACGTGTATGAGATGTGGGTCGTGTGAGACAGAGAATATGTGCACACACAAACACACACCGTTCTGGAGGACAATGTGTTCATTCTGGAGGAATGAACGCACTTTGAAAGAGAAGTTTTTCCTTCTCTATTCCCAAATTCCCAGGGGCTGGGAAGGGAATAAGCAATCAGCTGGGCTAGAAATGTATCTGCCTTCGTCAAATGTGAAATCCAAAAGAACCAACAAAGGCGCTCATGAAAGGAAACACCTATAAATGCTTGTTAGGCCCAGAGAACACAGCTTCCAGCTCACAGCGATGCCAGTCAAGTCAGAACTTTCATGCTGCCCTTTCTTTCTCTGCTTTCTCTGTGTACTTCAATTCCTGGAGGAGTCAGGAACAGAGCTTACAAGGTGAGGGAGGAAGAGGTGTGCAAAGTGGAGAAAGGGAGAAGCAGCCATCAGGTCCCCTTCTTTCCTGCCTGGCAAGAGCTCTAATTGGGGGAGGGGGCACAATTCACAATTAAATCAAGTCTATGGCTCTGACTGTATGTGAGACTGGCTGTTGCATTACTAAACTGAGGCTCTTTGTATGATACAAGACAAGATGCAGAAAAAACATTTGACAAAATTCCACATACATGATAAAAACTTTTGGCAAACAAGGAATAAAAAGGAAATTCTTTAATCTAATAAAGCTACAAAAAAGCTCATGGCTAACATCATACCCGATGGTGTACGATGGAGTGCTTTCTACCTCAGATGAGGACTAGGCAGGGTACTAGTCACATGACCATTTCTGTTCTGCATTGTGCTGAAGGTCCTTGCGAGTCCTAACCAGTAAACTGCCTAGACAACAAAACTGTCCTAGCCAGGAAAATAAGGCAAGAGAAAGAAGTAAAAGACATACAAATTGGAAAGGAAGATTAAGCTTGCCTTTATTTGCAGGCAACATGACTGTGTATTTAGATAACACTAGGGAATCTATAATAAAATTTTTAGAACTAAATAATCAGTGAATTTAGTAAGGTCGCAGTATTCAAAGTCAATATGCAAAAATCAACTGTATTTCTGATTAGCTGTAAATAGTTGGAAAATGAAAAAATTTTAAATTCCATGAACAATTGTATCAAAAAATAAAAATTATTAGGAATAAATTTAAGATAATATGTGCAAGATCTGAGTATTGTAAACAATAAAACTTTTCCCAAGGAAATTAAAGGCCTAAATAAATGAACCATTTTTACAGAGTGAAAAACTTAATATCATTAAATTGGCAATTGTTAAATTGTTTAAGTAGTAATTCATAGTAGTATTCATAATCAAAATTCTAGCAGGCTTTTAGAAAAACACATTGACAAACTGATTCTAAAATAAATGTATAGAAAGGCAAAGAACCTAGAATAGTCAAACAATTTTGAAAGAGAAAAAGAAGTTTGGACGACTTACACAATCTAATTTCAAAATTTAAGTATTTACCTACAATAATCAAGAAAATGTTGTATTTATATAAGAACAGATCTACAGATTAATGGAAGAGACTAGACAGTCCAGACATATACTCACACTTATATGGTCAGTTGATTTTCAACAAAGAAACAAAATGATTCACAGGAGAAAGGATAGGCTTTTCAACAAATGCGCTGGAACAACTGGATGTCTGTACAGCAACAAAACGAACTTTGACCCTTACCTCATACCATATACAAAAATAAATTAGAAACAGACCTAAATATAAGAGCTAAAATTATTAAACCTCTAGTTGAAAGCATAGGAAAGAATCCTTGTGATAATAGGTTAGAAAAGATTTCTGAAAATGGGCTTCCAAAAAATTACCCCAAAAATATTTAAAACAGATTTTATAAAAATCAAAAGCTTTCAAAAGACAGAGTTAAGAAAACGAAAAAGCAAGGCACACTGAGGGAAAATATTTTAAAAATGTGTATCTGATAAAGGGCTCAGACCCAGAATATGTGAAGAACTCACAAATCACTAATAGGAAAACAAACAACTCAATAAAAATGGACAAAAGATTTGTACAGATACTTAACAAGAAGATATACGAATAGCCAATAATCACATGAAAAGGGGATCAACATCATTCATCATCAGGAAAATGCAAATTAAAAACAGAAGGAGGTAACTCTACACACCAGCAGAATGGCTAAAATTAAGAAGGCCGGTAGTACCAAGTGTTGGTGAGAATGTGTAACATCTGTAGCTCTCACATATTGCTGGTGGAATTGCAAAACAGTACAGTCATTTAGAAAACGGTTTGATAGTGTCATAAATTTAAACAGGCACTCACCATACAACCCACTAATTTTACCCACAAGAAATGAAAACACATGTCCACAGGGAGATCTGTATGTGAATGCTCATAGCAGCGTCCTCCACAATGACCACAAACTGAGAACAAATAAATGTCCATCAACTGGTGAGGGGATAAACAAATTGTGGCATATCAATACCAGGGAATACTACTCAGCAAAAAGTTGATGGAATGTTGAAATATGCAACAACATGGGCAAATCTTAAAAACATGGTAAGTGAAAGTAGTCAAACACAAAAGACTACATACTGTAGGGTCCCACGTATGAGAACTGCCAAAAAAAGGGAAATTTACAGTGACAGTGACAGACAGAGGATCAATGGTCCTGGAGGTGAGAGTCACAGGAGGGGATTAATTATGAAAGGCAACAGTAAAATTTTAGGGTAATGAACTGTTCTATATCTCCACTGTGGTAGTGGTTACATAAATACTTACGGTTGCCAAAATTCATTATATCATACACTTAAAAATGAATTTTACTTTATATAATTTATATCTCCATAAAGCTAGGGTAAAAATTTGTTAAACATACAAAATGAACAAAGGACATAAACAAACACTTGTTTGAGGAAGTATATGAAACCTTTAAACATGAAAAACATGCAACCTCAATAGCAATCAAGGACATGCAAAGAGAAAGAGCAGAGAGGGACGGTGCTCTCCCTCCCCAACCAGAGAAAGTTTAAAACGGCAATGCTAAGTGCTGGCAAAGAGCAGCCCTGTGAGGACAAATGAACACCTCTCGGAAGAGCACTTTAGCAATGGGTAATGTAAACCTTAATGTTCAAACTCTTTGACTCAAGTGTTCACAAAACATCATACAGCCATTAAAAATTAGTTTGAAAGGTTTCTTAATGACATGAAAAATTCTCCCGACATAATAGTCTGTGAAAAAACATAACATAGTTTACACCTCTGCCCTGTTTCTCTCTCTCTCCCCAGCCTATCTGATTCGTAGCACGCATCACAATCCGTAACTGATTTATTTGTTTCTGACGTAATAGTGAGTGTGGGTAAGAACAAGCATATTCCATG